ACCCCTCTCCACACACCTCTCCACACACACATCTCTCCACACATACCTCCACCACACACACCTGTCCCTACACCCCCACCCCCACACACACAAACACACACACACCCCGGGGACTAGAGGACAGCACCAAAGAAAGGAGAGCCGCGCTCCTGCATTAAGGCACCAATGACCCAAGGAGCACACAGCCCGGGCTATAACAAGAGCAGCCCGGCTGGAGAGCACCTCTGCTTGTGGATGTCCTTAAACCAACACCACCAAGCCCCGAGCGCACGCACAAAGAGAGACACACTGTATACAACTCCGCGTACACACACACGCACACGCTATCCAATAACCAGCCTGTCTCCCGGCCATCCACACACAAAGGGACGCGCAGTCTCCACGCAGCCCGCCCCCCCTTATTATTTCCTAGCTGCCCCAACACAAAGAGGGCTCCTGCACACACGAGCCGCACGGGTCCCCGCGCAGCCCCCTGCCCCCGTGCACAAAGCGGGGCGCGCACAGCCGCCCCCGGTACTCACCGCCCTGCAGGTGTCTGTCCATAGGAATGTGGGGTGAGGGCAGGCTGTGCTCTATGTCCCTGTATTGGATGGGGGGATGGGATGGCTAGTGGGGAGGGGGCTGTGTGCCTGTGGGGCGGGGGGAGGTGGCTCTGATCCCCTATCCCTGGCTTCTCCCTCTGTCCTCCTCTTCCTCCACCCCCCACTTTGTGTGTGTGTGTGTGCGTGTGTGTGCGCGGCTCCCCCTCCTCCTCCTCTTCTGCGCGGTGATATTAAATGCTCAGGGAGAGAGAGACACTGAGACACAGAGAGAGCTCGTATCAGCTACCGGAAATCGCAGCCCTGGTCATAAATATACCACAGGAAGTGTGCAATGATACACACACACACCTACTGTTACACACGCAGCCAGCCCTGCCCCCCAGCATGGACACCCCCACCCCCCACTGCTAAGCCGGGAGGGCGGGGGCGCGTGTGTGCGTATTTAGACCTCCGCCGTGTAATATTCCGTGTGTGTGCGGCTCAGGGGAGGTTGTGGTACACGCAGGAACTGACGAGCCAGGCTGGAGAGGCGGCGTGCCCCGGGCCCACACGAGACGAGGCGCCCCGCTAGTCACAGCGCCGACGGGGGACACACGTCGGGCCCGTGCGCAGCTCGGGGGGAGGGGTGGGGGCGGGCACCGTGATACAGCGTGCGTGCCCTGCGCTATATACTGTGAGTGTCCCGTGCTATACTGTCCGTGCCCCGTGCTATACTGTGCGTGTATCGTGCTATAATGTGCGTGCCCCGTGCTATAGTGTACGTGCCCCGTGCTATACTGTGCGTGCCCCGTGCTAGGGTGCGTGCCTTGTGCTATGCGCCGTGCACACACCGTGCTATACCGTGCGTGCGCTCATACTACCAAAAGTATACGGCACGCGCTCGTAGCCCGGGATGGCGCCAGCTGCTGGGACCATCGGGGCTAAAGGGAGCAAGGGCCACCTCAGGGACTGAAGCGCCCGAGATCTCGGCGCCAACGGCGCTCCCTCCGGAGCGGGCAGACCCCACAGCAGAGGGGTGCAGGGGCCGGACCCCGACGTTGTGCTCGTTGCGATGCCGGGCCTCTCCCTTGCAAGCACGCAGCGCCGGTGCTGGCGGCCCGCTGGGGACGGTCCCGCTTGGAGCAGGGCGCCGTGCTCGCCGACCTCTGGCAGCGCCTTCCCGCCCCCCCCCGCGTCGCTTGTGTGGCAAACGGGCTCCCGCCAGCCCGCCCCTGGCAGGAGGAAAACAAGCCCCGGGCCAGGGGCGGGCTCTCTGCAGAGGAGGGGCGAAGTGGCAGGGGCTTGGACAGCACTGGATGGGGGGGTGCTTTACTGTACATGGTACCCCCCTCCCCTCCCCTCTCTGCCGGCCCGTGGCGCTGCATATCTCACGGAGGAGGGAGAAAGATGGAGGCACTGGAGGGAGAGACAGGGAGGGAGCGTGTTATTCAATGGCGAGGCAATAAACAGCACGCTGAAGGCTATGTCAAGCCACTGCCCGCGTTAGAACAGCGGAGGCTGAGGAGAAGCAGCAGAGCCGGCGCCGGGGGAGCTGCAGCCGTGCCTGGCTGTTCCTCCTCTTAAAATATGTCTGGCTATGTTACCTGCGGGGTTATGATTATTCCTATTCTAGTGTATCTGGGGGCCCTGGGCGGGAGGGCGCAGGCGGGGATGAGGGGAAAGGCTGGGAGCCTGCCCTGTCCCCGGTGCACGGCAAGCAGGACAGGAGGCGCCTTTCCTGAGGCAGTGCTGCTGCTTGCTGGAGCGGCTGGAGATTGCAGCGGGGCTCCCTCCTTTCCAGCGGCCCCTGGCTCCTCTGGCCTGGCCGCCGGGGAAGCTGCGGGGCCGGGGAAATAACTTCCTCAGCAGGGGAGGGAAAAGCTCGGGGGAGGGAGGGACTTGACCCTGCTAGAGCTTTATAAGACGTGTTAACCAGCAAGTGTTTCCGAAGGCTTGCTGTAGACAAGGTAACTGCAGGCTGGAAGCATTTGGTGGTCACAATGATCCTGAGTTGGAGAGTGATACAACTAAGAAGACATACCCAAAACTAGAGCTCTTAGTTCCAAAATGATACTTTTTACTAGACCAACTGGGAAATCGCAAGAAAATTGTCCTTTTCTGCAAGCTTTCGGGATCAAAGTCCCTTCGTCAGCCTCTGGGAAAAGTATAGATGGTACAAGATGGTAAAAAGTCCCCATAGGTAGGAAATAAACTTCACAGAGGGAGCATAAGATGGAAGGCTGCCTCCCTCTGGGTCCATGGGAGTGTCTCTGTGAGCGCTTTGATGTGTAGATCAGGTAGAGTTCCTTCCCTGGAGGTGTCGGCAGGCAGGGAGGTAAAAACTCTTTCTTGTTGTTCTGCCATGAAGTTTAAAATCCAAAATCAGCTAAAAACTGAAAAGACATATAACTGAGAAGATGTGTATTAGATGTGCATGTCCTGCCCTTCCTCGCAAAAGCTCAGGATGGCTTACAGAAGAGAGCAACATAACTTCTAAAACAGAGAAGAAAGCCAGGAGAAACCAATTAACATCGAAAAGCCAATGAGGCAGTCAAGTTGAGCAAAACTCAGTTTAGGGTTGCCAGCTAAACACCTGCTCAAATGGAAGGTCTCCAAGCACTCCTGGAAGATGTCCCAGCCCGGCTCTGGTGGGCTGCCAGAGGCAGGGAGGTCCAGAGCTGAGGGGTGACTGTTGGCAATAGCATCCATCCTACACCTTTTTTGCCAAATAAACTTGCAGGATGTTACTCTTGGTATGTCTGTGGACATAAAAGTGATTGCAGTGTAGCATAGGCATAGGCACAGTAGCTTTAAAGTAGCTAGACTGTATACCAGTCACAGCTTAGCCCAGCAGCGCCAGACTCAATGAAACAGCCCTGAGCATTGTGCTGCTTGCGGCTACACTGATACCACCAAGCTAGCTACAATAAAGCAAGCCAAGATATGTCTACACCAAGCTAGTCACTGCAGGTTTATCGTGATCTGCTAACAGCTGTCATAACTGCAACTGACTTGGCCAACACTAGGCGTGTAACATAGATTAGCTAAATAAATTGTGTATATATGTTAAAAATGCTCCTTTGAGCACTGCATCCATCCTTGGAGGTTTTCAAAACTCCACTAGACAAAGCTTTGGCTGGGATGATCTAGTAGGGTATGGTCCTGCTTTGAGTAGGGGGTTGGGCTAAATGACCTCCTGAAGTCCCTTCCAACCCTCACTTTCTATGATTCTATGGTTTTTTTCCCAGCAAAAACAAGGCCAGTTTGCCTCTGTGTGTATATGCAGAACTCATAAGCATTTCCTAGTTAATATACTAAAATGCAAATTAATCCAGATTAAGCATGCCTAATCTCCAATCCTGGAATTAGATTCACTGAAATCAGTTGAACTACTTGCATAAGTGAGGGTCATAGAATGTGATCCTAAGATCCAGTCATAGATCATTTCATTGACTTTTGAATGCACAGAACTTTAAGTGCAAGATTTAGAGCCACTGCAAACATTTAGATTACTCATATGCTTGAAGTTTGTATGTGTTTAAGTACTTTGCTGACTCAGAACTGGATGACTGAGGAAACTGTAAAAGGACACTCATGGATTTTCCTAACCCTCGCTGCCCCAGGAAAACCAGCATGGAGTAGCACGTAGTCCACGAAGTTCTTTGTTTGAAAATCTGGTACTATACCTACCGAGAGAATATTCCCTCTAATTGCTGTAAATAAAACTAAACATGCTCTGGATTTGTGATTACACACATTCATGAAAATGTGTGAACATGTTCGAGGTAGGATCGTAGTTAAGTTTTATTTAATTTATCTTAAGAAATCAGGACTGAAATGCAAGGAGAAATGGTAATGTAAGATTATTTTTGACATTGTTAAGGTACACAGGTAAAAATGGAGCATTCCAAAGCTAAGGAACCAGATTCTGAGCAGATGTAAATTGGTATAGTTTCATTTATTTCAAATGAAGTTATGTTAATTCATATCAGTTAAGCATCTGGCCAACGGTTGCCAAAGCAAATGCTATTTGGTCATTGAGCAACAAAGCTAAGTCGCCCGCTCTGTGCCGCACTAATTTAGAGGACGGGTCAGGATTTAGTGTGTACCATGTGTCTGAGCACATTACACTTTGTGCAGGAGGGGGCACCAGGGGTGCACTCAAGGGGCAAGTACCACATACTGCACCTCAGGGGCATAGGCTGTAGTTATATTGGTCTAAGGACATAGGCCAACAAAGTTCTTTGGGTAAATCTGGTATCTTTGATTAGACGAATGAAAATAGTTGGAAACATTCTTCTTTGCACCTCTGCATTTTTATATACTATTATTAACATTTGTGTACAGTACAGGATAGAAAGATGTGTATGCATGAAGTGTAGGAATGCACATGCATATATATACACACATGCACATAACTGCATATAGGTTTGTGTGTGGGTGTGTGTGTGTGTGTATGCTAATAGTATAAAAGCCTTAAGTCAGTCTGTCAGTCTGTCCATAATGCTTTTTTCATTCTCTGATTGTCTGTTTAAAGCAGCCATTCAGAGTGCTTTAAACAGATAGGACAGATGGGCCAAGGGTTAGCGAGGATTTAGTTAGGGAGCTTCTGGAGGGGCTGGACGTTTTCAAGTCAGCCGGTCCGGATGATCTCCACCCTAGAGTTCTAAAGGAACTGGCTGAGGTCATTGCAAAGCCTGGCACGGCTTTACGAGCACTTGTGGTGCTCTGGAGAGGTACTGGTGGACTGGAAGAGGGCCAGCGTGGTTCCCATCTTCAAAACACGGAGGAAGGAGGACCCGGGAAACTATAGGCCAGTTAGTCTTACCTCGATCCTAGGCAAGCTTTTCGAGAAAATAATTCTGGCACACATCCAGGAGGGGCCAGCAGGGGACTGCATGCTTAGGGGCAATCAGCACGGGTTCATCAGTGGCAGGTCCTGTCAGACCAACCTGGTGGCTTTTTA